AAGAAGAAAATGAAAGAATAGTTTGAGAAAAATTTAAATTAACTTACTTTTTATAATTTCATTTATATGTGAAAAAACAAAAATTTACGAGGAAAAAAATCTTTTCTATCTTTCCCATTTCAGGTCATTATATTATTTCAGGCCTTTTCATTTCGTTTTTTCTTTTTAAATAAATTAATTTTCAGCTTCATTTTAAATTTTAATTTCAAAAAATTATGTGAATACGTTACTCAAATACTCCCAAGCGATCACTTAAATGTAATTTCATTTCCTTTTTCTTTTTTTTTCTTTAAATCTCCACTGCCTACCTTTTTTTTTATTTATTAATTAATTATGTTTCATCAGAATGAATATTTTAAAATAATTTCGGACAATCGTTCAAAATAGAATTTTAGCAAAGAATTTTATTAGTAAATTGTAAATAATAATTGCCCTAATATTTCTTATTATAATCAGTTATTAGTTATAATTAATGAAAGAGATAAGGTAGAATACCAAAATTTTTTTTCAAATTTCTATGATCTTATGGTAATCTTTGGACAGCAATGAAATTCGTATAAATATTTTTGAGGAGGTGGAAATAATTTCACATTTAGGTATCATTATCGTGAAATATCTTCCCGTTTCTTTGCTCTCTTACATTTTCAAAGGTGTGTATTTATCATCAAGAAATTTGATTTCTTTTTTTTTTTTGAAATATTTTAAGTAATGATGTATACTCACTTAAATATAACAAAAAATATAACGGGAATTATATAGGTAATAATTAACTCATTCCTCTTTCCATACTAGGATAATAATGAGAAATTTGAATTACCTATTTGATTACAAGGCTTGATAATGTTTATTCATTATTTAATTTGCATTTATCAATCAAAGTGCCCTAACGGTGCAAATATTTTATGATATTTCTTTTTTTTTGTTGTTGTTTTTATAACTTAATAATTTTCATTTTTTGTTTTCAAATTGTATTAATTTTCTTTTTCTATAGATTCTCACCTGTTTTCCTTTAATATGTCAAATCAACACGTGCATATGTCATTTGATGGATGATACGGTGACAATGCCCCTCTTCCAATATCATAAAGTTTGTGAATTTGCATTTCATTTTCTAAGCTTAACATTTAAGCATAATAGATTTGAATTGATTATAAATATATTCATTAACAAGACAGAAATAAAACAATGTGTTATATAAGATAGTGGAAGAGAAAATTTGTTTTAAAAAAAGAAAACTGGTTTTGTGAGGTTATTTCATCAAATTGATGTAACAAATAAGAGAAAGGGAGAGAGAGAGAGAAAGAGAGGGATCGATGAGAAGATCGACAAAAATCTGTCACATATTATTAGGATGGCGAAGTTTATTCATTATCACTATTGAAAACTATTGAAGCAAAGTTATCACTGATTGGAAAATCGTAGAATTAGTGTCTAGATCATTTTATGCATGATTTGATGAATTGATAAAAGGAGTTTTTAATTACTGAAGTTTTTAATTACTTATTTAACACAAAACAAGTTATAAATGAATACGCAGGTGATCACTTAATATAATTCTATTCCTGTTGGCCTCAATTAAATGAATGATGGCGCATTTTGACTAACATTTTTAAAGTGAACAAATCCGCTCATTTGATTTTGTGCTATTGACTGTTAATAATATCAATCATTCATTTCAACAATATTCATTCAATCAACTATATGTATCATGTTTACATTTCTACGTGATATGTTTATTTCGTAATTCGTTGTGACATTTGAATGCTTCATTATTTCCCGATGATACAATCGCGAAGTTGCGGGAGGATTTACGGCAATTTAATGGTCGAATAGTCTTGGTATTATCAATTAAAAAGCACAAATGACAATTGACGATGACTTTTCATTCATTGTCCAGTCTGATAATAAATCATTGCATAATTAATTGTGAAGACAAAATTTCAAATAGTGATAAATGATAATAAAATGATAAAAGCATCATGAGGATATGTAATATTGATAAAGATATGCAAATAGTTCAGTATAAAACTGTTAGCCAATCATACTTTCGATAAATAACACATTTGTCAAAACATGAATGATTTGGTAAAATAAACGGATCCAATCTCCTAACCAATAATATTGATCCATTTTGATCTTATCAGTTTTCCGTTCGTAATATACATCCTTTTATCAGGAACTTCAGATTCAACCTTCTAAACAAAAATATCGATCCATTTTGATCTTATCAGCTTTCCGTTCGTAATATGCGTCCTTTTATCAGGAATATCAACATTAACAATACTTCAGGAAAGAAAAATAATCATTTATTAATGCTGGAGAAAAGATCATCCGCAAGAATAGGAATAGATGAATGCTGTTATAAAAATGAAAATACGACATGACATTGATCCTGATGACAAATTCTACTATATTTCGAATAGTCACTTTTAAAATATGTACATTTAAGCATTCCATAACTCTTTTCAGTAAAATTTAAAGATTTGTACAGTGGCATAATCCTAACAATTGAAGATGAAAATATCAAAAAATATCATAATTTCTCAAGCTGATACAATCAATAATTAGTAAAATAGG